GGGGGGGGGGGGTGGATTGGATCTTTGGGCTCTGGAGGAGTCCCTATATCAAGACCTTTTTTTGCAAATTCCAAACCCTGACTGTTTAAAATAATGCAAACACAACATGAGAGCGATTCATTTTAATGCCATCTTAAGCTTGTGTCACTGTCAGTCTACCTCCAGCTTCATCATAGAATTTGTTGTTTGGGGGCTGCATAGTCAAAACATGCCATATGGGGTGGCGGATAGCGGTGGAGAAAAGGGCCCATACTATTTAGCCATGTTTCAACAGTCTCTGTGGGGTGACACTGATCATTTACAGAGGTTGACAATATTTTCATACTTGCCTGTCTCAGCTAGCCACAGAAACAGAAGAACAGAAAAGAACAGAAAGGAAGAGACAGTGAATACCATTAACATGCCAGTGCAGGGACACAATGTAATGGCATGATAACTATGGAAGATATATCATGCCTAAAAAAAACTGGAAACCCTGTGATGAGGTAAGTACGTGCTGACAGAGGATCCTTTCCTCTGGCCTTTAATAACATTCCAGGCAATGTTTTTGGTCCATTCAGATTTTGGTGTATAACTAAGCAAATGTTAATCCGTTAATGCAGAGATGAAGTGGAGGAAACTGATGGTATGAAGAAAGAAAGGTTGCTACTGTAAACAGCAGCAGCAGCAGCAGGCACATGGCGTACAGTACACGGGCCTGTTAATGTGCTGCTGGATAAAATCTATCTAGATTTGGAGATTTTTAGTTCTTTTTTTGGCAGGTAGGTTTATGACCTTGCAAGACAGAAATGTATAGTACAGGTCTGGTTTGACAAAGCACAACAAATGGAAGCTGATTCTCCCATGTGTTAGATAAAAGTAAAAACAGCTATATAAAGGTAAATAATGACAATGAAAGTAGGCTTTCAAAAGTGCTTTGGTTTAATCTAAAGCACCTTTTTGGAGAATTCCACTTGGGCCACTTCAAAGTTATGACTGGACTGCTGATTGTATTTCATTCTGGTACGACAACCAGCTCTGTTCCAGTACTTTCCAAAATGCAATGACTTTGCTCTGCATTGACTGTATTGTCACAGCCAATGTTTCCCCCTACTGGACAGGACTTAAATGCAAAAGGCTCAACTGTAGAAAGACAATGGAAAACAGAATATTCAAAATTAACAACAAAAATGAAAGATGAAAGTAAATGCATATATATCTTTGTTGGGTTTCCATTTATTTAGGCATGTACATCTAGTAAATCACCAAAAGGGAATTGACAGATAACAGCAATTTGAAGACATTTTAAAGCCTGACTGGTAATGCAACATGTGAGTCCACACTACTGACACTGAAAGGTGCCAACATCAGAGAATGAGGAGACATGAGTGGTGATGCAAACATTGGGTGTTTCACCACACCAGTTACTAACTGCTGACTCACCCCATTGTTGACACTCTGAGCCGAGGACCTCCCAGACCTAAACCTCTCATACCTGAAGCAAAGAAAGAACATGAAAGAATGAAAAACAACTCAAATCTGTGCAAACACTCAGTGAGGTCAGGGTAAAGATGAGTAATGCATACTTTTGTCCTCCAAAAGATGAGTCTGCGCTTGCATTTGTATGTGTGTTTCTAACCTGTCATAGCGTAGGAAAATGTTATTGAGGTCATCGTTGACATGCAGCAGCTCCTCAGTCACTGCCTCATTAGACACACAGGAGATGAGCTCCACTATCCTCTGCTGCATGGCTCTACAAGTCCTGTTCAGCTCCTGAATACATACAAACACATACATATACATAGTGATCTCAGGTTACCGCTTTCTCAATACATGCCTTTTTAAAACTAAAAATAGTCTCTTAAATGTGTTAACATAAGTGGTGCCTTGCCTGTAGTAACTCATAGTCCGAAGCATCCTCCTGTCCAGGGACCATCTCAGTCAACATTTCTGACATCACCTTAGTGTTTCCACGAACAATGTCCAACTCGCTGCGCAGTCGGCAAATCTGTATGTCACACAGGTAAATTCATCTACAGTTAGTTCATCATTAGGCAAACTGATTTTTTGATCTTACTAAACTAAACTCAACCAAATAATAAAAAAAATGTGGATTTGATTTAAAAATCTAATCTTGCCATATTTCTGTGTTGTAAGGACGGACAATAAACCAAAAACAAACAAAAACAAAACAGGATTACAACGTGTAAGCTGCCCACAGAACGATTTCTGCATGGGAAAAAAATACTGTAACAGTATCCACTTCTACATAATGAATAGTGTTGAAAAACATCTGCTTTATAATCCTTTCATTCAGAATATATTTGGAAAATAACAGGTAGTGTTGATGAGGGGGGTATATGAGTTCATTTGATGAGGCTGTGGGGGATACATGACAAAAAAAGGTTGGGATTGGGACACTGTCACACCGAGCACATTTGCAGCAGTGTATTCAAACTCCGGAGTGTCTCTGTTCTCTTGTAAATGTGTTCATGGGAGTAACACTGTACCTGTTCAGGTGTAGGATTGATGGATCCAGAGGCATGGATATTGGGGACCTGAGGGGTGGTGTAGGCTGGTGGGACAACCTGTGGTGTGGGCTGAGTAGTGGTGGTGGTGGCATACTTATGTAGGGTGGAGTCGCCCTCTGGAGCAGAAGCCACCTAGAAGCAACAGAGAAAGAGATAAGAGGCATAACAGAACATGACAAATTAACTGGAAAGATAATAATGCTTGGTCTTTGCACAGACACGTCTGCACACATTTGAGATGCTTAGTATGACGCCCCCTACCCGCTGAGGTGTGTGTATAGGTGACAGGGTCTCCAGTTCTGACATGGGGAACTCGATGCCTTTCCTCTTTAGCTCCTCGTAGATTTGGACCACGCCTGTGAGGTCTGGACTGCTCCTGAATGCATCAGCCCATGCCTGGAGAAGGAACCGTGAGAAAAGAGTTAAAAGAAAAGAGAGGGAGAGACTGAACAAACCCACCCCAAAGACAATGGGTACAGCGAGGGCTGACGCAGCAAACACAGCCAATGTCAGAATACTAAAAGAGGCCTGTTCTTTGATCATTTCAGTTTGTTTGCCTTGAATACATTCAGCCAAAAAAAAAAAAAAAACACAAAGCTCTTGGCTTCCCTCTCCCAGCAGTGGACAGGCTAAAGCAACACTGGGCCATTATAACAGCTCAAACACATGACACACTTTTAAAAAACAAGTAGACAAGGACTTTGAGGGAGTTCTACTCGGTCAATTCAAACTGCCAGATTCATGTAAAATTCAAATTTCAGTTATGCTTTCCTTACTTTGGTTGATGTAACTAAGTAACTAAAAGCAACATAAAACCGATGCAAAACAAGTAGAATTAATCAACTCAGAATGACTCTAAAAATACATAAATGTTGTTAGGACTATTGTCTATACTGTACAAACATGCTCAGGTTTTTCATCTCCAGGGTACACCTGAGAGATGAGACAGGTGGTTAGGGAGGGAACACAACCGCAGTCTGTTGGCCAACTGTGTATTACCTGCCATGCTAAAGGAAATGTCAACAATACTCTTGCTGTTGTGTAAAGGGAGTGCTGGTCAACACATTTTCCCACACAGTCTTTCCCAGCTCACCCTTCTCTTACAAACTTGTTTGGCTAATGACTAGACAAACAAGAAGCAATTAGATTCATCCCTCTCCCTCATCGCAACTTTATGCACCCCCCCTCCTGGATCCATGCTGTAAGCTGCGGTCACATGGTCTCCCTGGTGGAAACAAGAGCAGCCCACATGAGCTCAGCAGGGTTACCGGAGCTATGACAGGTAACTAGAGCTGCTACTGGATGAAGCCCTGGAGACAGTACCTTCACCTGAGGCTCTGCCTGGGGACGACAGGACTTCTGCACAGCCACACATACTATAACAAAACACTTAAGCTGCACACCTCTCACTAACTGACTGACTGACTTCTCTCATAAACATGTACAGCAATAAAAAAGGTAATGTAGACTCAATACCTGTTGTGGGAATAAACTATTAAGCTTTACGACATGTACTGACTGATTATGACACACAAGGGAACAAACCAACACTAGGTGCAAGCAATTTTACTTTTCATCTTACTTGAATCAGGGCGAGTACTTTATCTTGAACGATCGTAGGCGGGTTGTTTTTAGGGGAGATGATTTTAACCAGCACGCCATCAACAAAGTCCCTGCTTGTGACCAAAGCATGAAAACGATGGCCGCAGTTCTTCACACATGTCTCCAGGACCTGGTGGATGCAGAGTGGAAATAATGTTGTGCAAACTGTGAATAAAACACTGTAACAGGAGTTGGACATAGTTAGAATGGACATGAGGTTTTGGATTGCAAATTCTATGTGAATGCAAATTATGTGATCTAATCAAGTGGGCCAAGGTGATTCGCTCTATGTGAGATTACAATATGTGTGAGAACTAGACAACAAGAAGAGCAATCTGTAACATGGAACATCTGACTGTAACATGGAAATGCAGTGTAGCTGCCCCCCTACTGCCCACTTTTAACTCACCGTTAAAGCCAACATCACTTCCCTATAGTTCCTGTTGCCATTCAGCCTCTTCTTCACTGCTCTAATGGCATCCTTAGGCCTGCACACAGGCATAAACACACAAATAAAAGCACACATTAAAACACACAAGAATAGCAAAGTACAATATGCCACATACAAACACAATTACCAAGAACTAAATGGCCGATGGCTTTTTGGGGCATTTTGAATGTCACTGACAGGATGATGGACAGCATTTGCAAAAAATAATACCAGGCGCAAGCACATGTCAATCATTCCTTGACTTTTCACAATCTCTGCATTGTTTATGTGACTGTTCCACTCTGAGGTAGTAATAATTAACTTTTGAATTCTTTGACCACTACCGACGGATCAAATCAGCCACACAGCAGTGGGCGTATAACACCCTTTGTATTCCCCAGAGAGAAAAAAAAAGTAGAGTCAGACCTTTTTTTTTTTTTATAGATTGCTGATACACAGTGCACTGCATTAGGCCAGCCCCACCTGTGCCAGTATACAACCCACTAATCAAACAAGACCTGGATGTCAGAAACCAGCTTAAACATACAGTACAAGGTTAATGGAGGAATGAGATAAGCAATGAGGCCTTGCATAAATCCACCTTACACAACCAGAGCTAGCCTTCTTCTTGTATGACACAGATAAAGAAAAGAGGGAAAGGACTGACTCTAATACTACATCTTGCTTCAGCGATGCATTATGTTAACAGCACAGGAACAAGGAAGACAATTAAACTAATGCATATAAGAGGATTAATCAATAACATATATTGATATTGATTGTTTTTTTCACTGGGTACTCACCCATCCTCTGTTTCATTGATGATGTCACATATTTCCATGTTGAGGGTCCAGTCTTCACTTTGCAGAGAGCCATCAGTGGCTCTCTCTGAAAGACACAGTTAGTTCAGAAACCCATTATAAAGACGTCTCAGTAAAACAACAATTATGGGATGTGGACCGGGGGCTAGCTCACTGAGAGCTAACACAGCTATTAGTCATCATTTAACACACAGGTTGAGTAATTGTATTCGTTGATGTTTTTAGCACTGACCTAGATGTTGACAACAACGGGAAACAGACTTTTAGTTAGTTAACGCTATTTCTAGCACAATGACAGCCAGGGTTACCGTAACTACCAGTTAGCTAGGCGGCTAACGGTGTCTTTCCAGCTGTACAGAACTCATTCAGGGACGTTAGCATGCTAAAGGTAGCGAGAGCGCAAACGACTGTCGCACAACAGAAATACATCTCCATGACATATACGTCTATCTTCACGCGTTGTAGTTTGCTAAACATCTGGTTACATACCAATGCAATGCCCCACCGGGGTACTGTAAGGATTTCCCAAAAGGAACTCCATCTTGCTCGACAACAAACAAGTCAGTCCATGGGATGATGATGATGATACATGAGGGAAGGTCCACAGAGTCCCGCCCACAGAGCAACGTAATTGGCCAAGAAATCCTGACCTTTAATGTGATTGGACAGTTAGAACATCCGTCACGCGAGTTGGGCGATTGTAAATAAAAGGCACCAAAGGTTGCAGCCATGAAACTCAAATGGCTATTTTATGACAGTAGTACTCATTCTGATATGAGCTGATGTAGACGCAGTATAGTCGCATACGGTAATAAATGTTGACAGACATAAGAATGTTTTGCAGTTTTTATTCAGTTAAGATAGCTAACATACATTGCTTACGATAAGTGGAAAGAAAACAGACAAACATGACTGCCACAGAAGCAAAACAACTTTCTGGATGAGGATCCAATCCACTTCCCAATAAAATTAAATAAATTGTAGAAACAGAACTGTGTTGTGGAGATGATACTGGTGAATAGGCTTTCTGTGTGCAGCATTCAAGCTTTCATCTCATTACCACAGAAAATCATTTAAATGTAGCATGTTTCACCAACTGTAATGTGAATATTTGCAGTGCACAATTTTCAGACACTACACACAGCACAGGTAGTATGAATAGCGTGCTGTTAGGATAGCATATGCACTTTTCCAGTATTGAAATGTAGCGCACAGAGAAAGCAGGCATGGAAACAACATTCCACAACCAGACAACAACATTAGTCACCATTCTCTTGAAACCGTGCGGCAGTGTCCAAAATGTCATGGATGACTGAGAACTGACTGGAAAGTTGGTGAAGGGTGTCACACTTGGCAGCTGCCACATATAAACACTGCAAAAATACAGCCAATGTTTTACTGGAGAGAGCTGACTCAATAACAGATCACAAACGCAACAGCTGTCACTGTTAAATAGAACAGACAGGAAGTGTTGTGCTTGTCTGCATGGATGTAGAAACATGAATAAAGAGAGGTGCTTGAGGGGCAGATCTGCTGAGTGCTCACGGACGTTTATGTTTGAGCTTATCATTCTCAGTCCTGCATAAGTTTGCGTTTGACAGTTGAACTCTCAGATGAGAGGTGAACAAAAAGAGTTCCAGCAGCAGTTCGTGCCCTCAGCTCATACATGTCGTAGTCGTGGGCCCACTCCACATTACCCCAATGCCGAATCTATGCAGGAGAAAAAAAAACATGTAAGAGGAATAAACAGAGAATATGAGGTTGTCTGCTGGAAGAGCAGCAAGCCAACTTTTGTGTTTCTCCATTGTTACACTGAAGGCACTACAGGCAGCAGCGCAAGAACGAAAAATCATTACTATTAGCAAAAACATTTGCAGAAGTTGTGTAAACAAGTGAAACCAGGACTCAGAGAAGCAAAATCAGCCTCTACACTGTGTTGTACGTTGTGTGCTACCACGTTAGGTTACATGGGAAATATGATGAAAACAGAAGAGGGTGCTGTTCTTCCAGAGTACAGAAGAAATACCAACATTGTTAAAGGGACACTTCACCC